TAATACACACACTAACACTGCTTATGGACATATAATTATTAATAATGAGTTCTATTTGGCATTACAAATAAACAGAATGGCAAGAACAATATGAGCCCAAATTGGTAGCTTAGATTGCCATGTCTTATTAGAAGAGAAGGTTTTATTTGCAAAATTAGCAGTCACTTTGAGCAACAAATATTTAGATCTATGTTTTAACTCCATAGTTTTATCATTTTTGATATACTAATTATTAATAATTATTGTCACTATTATTATCATTATCTATTTTTAACTCTCTTTTTCCTCCATTGATATTGCTTTAGATTCCTCCCATAGTCTATCATTCAACTAAGCAGTTCTTGCGTTATCTCTTCCTATTCCTCTCCTCATTTTGGCTCTTGTCCCTCCTCTTAGCAGCTGCTGGTTTATTGTTCCCTTATTCCGGAGTGGAGCCGGTCAGACCAAAGAGGTTCTACCTCCAGCACAGTCACATTAATAATCATGAAGAACCTGGGGCTTCATTCTCTGGAATATACATACATACCTTTGACTATAGGTTAGTATATGGGTCTGGAACCAGCCCCCAATTTTTATTACATTTTCTGATACATATTAATGTCCTTATGCTGTGTAGCAAGTTTGAGCTGATTCCGACTTCAATTTTTCAAGTTACAGCCATTTTAAGAAAACGGCAAAAACTGAAAAATAGCCAAGGCTATAGCCCATGGTTTTTTCCAAAAAATGGCTCCAAAATCACCCCAAATTTTTATTACATTTTCTGATACATATTGATGTCCTTATGCTGTGTAGCAAGTTTGAGCTGAATCCAACTTCAATTTTTTTAATTACGGCCATTTTAAAGAAAACGGCAAAAAACTGAAAAATACCCAAGACTATAGCCCATAATTTTTTCCAAAAAATGGCTCCGAAATCACCCCCAATTTTTATTACATTTTCTGATACATATTAATGTCCTTATGCTGTGTAGCAAGTTTGAGCTGATTCCGACTTCAATTTTTCAAGTTACAGCCATTTTAAGAAAACGGCAAAAAACTTAAAAATACCCAAGACTATAGTCCATGGTTTTTTCCAAAAAATGGCTCCGAAATCACTTCAAATTTTTATTACATTTTCTGATACATATTGATGCCCTTATGCTGTGTAGCAAGTTTGAGCTGATTTCGACTTCAGTTTTTCAAGTTACGACCATTAAAGAAAACGGCTAAAAGCTAAAAAATACCCAAGGCTATAGCCCATGGTTTTTTCCAAAAAATGGCTCCGAAATCACCCCAAATTTTTATTACATTTTCTGATACATATTGATGCCCTTATGCTGTGTAGCAAGTTTGAGCTGATTCCGACTTCAATTTTTCAAGTTACAGCCATTTAAAGAAAACGGCAAAAACTGAAAAATACCCAAGGCTATAGCCCATGGTTTTTTCCAAAAAATGGCTCCGAAATCACCCCAAATTTTTATTACATTTTCTGATACATATTGATATACTTATGCTGTGTAGCAAGTTTGAGCTGATTCCGACTTCAATTTTTCAAGTTATGACCATCTTAAGAAAATAGCAAAATTAATTAATTAAATTATTATTTATTACAGGGAAATGGTTCCATTGTTGGATTATGTTCCTAAACTAAGAGAAGCCACAGAAGTTCAGTGCAAGGGAGTTTACTGTGGAATGCCGTCATACTTTCCGATATCTCACATGCTAAAGTAACCACACCCTTCATTAATTATTATTATTATTATTATTAATTAGGAGGAATTGGTTCCTTCCAGCAGGGCCTCCTCCTGGTGCCTCCTCTAAACTGGTTCTTGAAAGTGTCAAGAAAACCTCATCAAATTCAAGAAACTACACCTTTATTGGACACTGTAAGAACATTATTAAACTTATTGAACCTTGTACCTAATCTCTCTCCCTCTCCCTCTCCCCCAGTTCCCCCTAATGCTAGGCTACACCTACAGCCATTACCAGGTTATTCTCTTCTCTCCTGGTCTCTTGAGTCATTCATTCCTCCAGTGACTCCTTATGGTGATGAGGGGTTAGGTTGTTATTACATTATGTACACTAGAGGGAATGGAGGGGGAGAGACTAAACTGTGGATTGAAGTGAAGGTAATAAGAGAAACAGTAAAGTGTGTGTAGCAACTAATGGAGTATCAACAATCAACTCTTATAACTGAATCAACTGATGTATATGTACAGGCAGTGTTGATACAATAATAGTTAATGATAGATAAACACCATTTACTTAATGGGAATTTCGGAAATTTTGATAAATTTGTTGTTTTGATAGCCATTTGTCTGCCATATTCAGTGCAGTCTATGGCTATAAATTTGACAAATTAAAACCTGCCAATCACCAAAAATTATGAATTTGCCCGATTTTACCTCCTACAAAATACCAGTTATACAGTTTACCAATTTTTCATTATTATTAATTATTATTGTTTCTCTTGTTAGGGTGATATTGATGTGAGTCCAGTGCTGGAAGTGTCCCTAATATCAGTGTATATCAACCCTCCTTCATCAACCAGTGATGAGTTACAGCAGTTATTATCATTATTACCATCATGGGTCTCTACTATTAGCTGGACTTCAATAATGGACAATATGACATTCTGATATACTGTTAATATACTGTTAATATACTGTTAATACACTGATAATATACTGATATACTCTCTGCTTATAGTGATTCCTATATTATTTGTATTTTTGTATTATTGAAGTATTAGAATTTAGACGGTGAAACAACTTCTGTTGAGTATAAGCTTTATCAATACATTTTTGTAAAATAACCTTGTGAATTTAGATAACTACAGAAGTGGTATCAGCAAAGTTTTTGACTTAAAGTTACACAAAGTTAAAGAGTTGTATGAGGTCCCTTTTCCCCTCCAACAGTTGGATTATTTAAACCTGCATTTATAGCAGTGGCCTTTCCTTTTACTATATAAAAGATAACTGATATCAAAGTTATTAAAACATGTTGTAGTTGATACCTCCAGCATTATAAGTACAACAATCATAGCAAAAGAAAAGCAACCAAAAGCTACTCCTCCAAATCCTGGGACAGCACCATTGTCTCTTCCAACATATCCTCAGCAATATCCAACAAATAGACAATTATTATTAATACTCCAAGAACAGTGGGTGAAGCAGCAATTGCAAGGGGATCTGTGACCAATTTCTCAGTGACAATTATTAAATTGATGTTATCATTCATTACCTATAGAGGCACTGAGTTCCATTGTTGTATTGACTTGTGTTGTTGTATTCTTCACTTGGTTACTCAACTCTATTAAAGAAAGTTAATATTTACTCTAAATATGAGCCTGTTAGCTTATTACCATTCATATTAACTGTACCAGCAGCATTAGTAACAGTAATATTGTAAGAGTGCTTAGCTCCTGATGTTATGTTAAAGATAATAATATTACTCATGACACATGATTTCAAGACATCATCAAAAGTAATGCTACAGTTAGTAACTGGAGGTCGTTCATCATCATTGTTCTAATTGAAAATTAAATCAAACTCAATAAAACCTCATAAAGCAAGTGTTGGGTATACTTTATTTTACCCTAATTGTAAAGTTGGCAATTGTTGTTAATATTTGTATCAACAGATATTTTGGGCTCTAAACAAAATAAACTTTAACAATTATATACTGATCATATTCTTGCTGCATACCTTTCCAAGAAATGGATGTACATTATGTAGCATTACCAATGTCCTTTCCCAAATGATTGACACTGGTTAATCCAAAGCTATACTCACCAGAAGTCACTGGAATAAAGTCATAATGTGTTGTTCCAGTTACATTCTTTACATCAACTTCATAAACTGAGAGATAAATAGAAAGTTTGTATGATCCTGCACAAGTGGCTCCACTCCAAGAGACCCTGATACCATCACCAAAAAACACAGGTGAGCTAAGATTAGCAGCTACTGGACCTGAAAGGAAAGTGTTGAATATTATGACACAACATTATTTTTATAAATAATGTTGGATTGTGCATTATTTATAAAATGTGACATCATTTTGACTCATGTGTGATTTATATGTACACTTTTTTGCATACATTTTACAACTGTTATACTAATATACCTTTAAAAATCAAGGTAACATTTGTGCTAGGAGACATAAAGTCACTATCAGAACACTCCAGTAATGATCCTCTTACAATATTGGTTACTGTAGCAGTTGCTGAAGATATGATGATTCTACTATCACTAGAGATGAGTGTGGCATAAAATGGGCTGCCAGACCCCAGTGAAGATACAGCGTGAAGTTGTGGGTATAAAGTATTTCCATTGTTACGCCATCCTAGCCTCACCCCATCATGAGATACCCTGACAATACAGGTCCAAGTAGCAACAGCTCCCTCACAAACCTCACCACTTGTCAGTGATAAACTAACACTAGCTGTAAAGTGGAGTAGACAATATTAATTCATCATATAATAAGGCTAATAGTACTAACCAACTGAAGGAACCAGGAGCAACAGATGAAGCAATGCACTCATCCTGGAGTAAGGAGCCTGTAGTGTCAGGATTTGACACCATGCAATCACACTGTGGGCTTTGAAGTGTGAGGATTATGACTTGGCACTATGCCATTGATAATTGGTGTTAAGTTTGATTATAAATAATCACAGATTTATTGATGTCCTTACGCTGTGTAGTAAGTTTGAGGTGATTCCGACTTTAATTTTTCAAGTTATGGCCATTTTAAAAAAACACCAAAATTTTGAAAATACCCAAGGCTAAAGCCTTGGTTTTTTTCAAAAAATGGCTCCAAAATCACCCCAAATTTTAATGATACATATTGATGTCCTTATGCTGCATATGTACATGAAGTATTGAAAACAGCAATTACAGCATAGATCTATACTTAGATCTAATTGTATTTTTATGAGGTTTAGAAATCTTGGTAAATATGGCCATTAGTCCTGCCACATTACAGCGTATGGCTACAGATTTGACAAATTAAAACCTGCCAATCACCAAAAATTAGGAATTTTAGTAAAACAATGAAATACATTATACATATGGACTAATAGTGTATATGTATACATGAATGATGTTGAGCTCAGTTTTAGTGTATCATGTACATCAACAGTTTATTTCTATTGTATTACAGGTTACTTAAGAAAAGTGTTGCATAAACTACACAATGACATTATGTATATAGTATTATTTATGATTATTAATGTGTTAGTGTGTAACTGGTTTAAACTGTCATTTCATTGTATTAACTTGTTTACAATAGAATATAATAGAATGACGATAACATTAATAATTAATAGAAGGAAAGGAGACAATGTGAGTGAATGTATAGCACCTGTGTGCGTGTATTGTACATTTATATACAACATAAAAACATGTATATGTGTATTAGAAAAAATTATAAAAATGAAGAATTCTCTCCTTTTCATTTTGGGTAAAATTTGGCCCAAGACCTTGTACTAAACATAAAAAATTTAAAAAAAACAAGATTGAGTAGAAAAAGTTCGTAAAAAGTAATGGAAACAAGGGCAAGTAGGATTCTGAATAACTACCAATAAAAATCCAAAATATATGTGTTTGTATGATCCTACTTAGTAATGCTACAGCGTTGATAATAATTGTAAATGGACTTTGGCCCAATTTTTGAGCAACTTTAAAAATTTATAAAAAATTTATGGAGTCAGCTCAAACTTTAAGAACATGTATATGTATCAGGAAAATTTATAAAAAGTTAAATTTTTGTATTTCGTTGTCAATAACTCTTATTTCTACTTTCCTTGTTATTGTCAATTAGTCTCAATAAACAATCCATTGTTTATCATAATGTAATGAATGTGTACTGAACTGAACATCAACAACAATAACAGGAAGAACAGGAGAGACTGGGGAAGAGCAGCCTATCATAAAACAATAACAATAGATAATTACATGCAGTAACAATAACAGACACACTCAAACATAAACAGAGAGAACTGTACCAAGATGTGCTCATGATGTTGTTAATATCATACATTGTTATGTTTATTCATTATGTTTATTTTTATCTATTGCTTAGAGTAGTTATGAGACACTTAACAAACTGTCTCATAATACCAGCACTTACTCCATGTCTTCTCATTCATATATAATACATACTATCAATGAATGTTATGTATATCAAGTTAAGGTGTGGCAATGAGTGTAGAATAACGACATAAGCAGTTTACATTCTAATAGTATAAACTGTTCAGTTCTCATTCCTCTTACTAATGGCTACCACTGGTATCTACTGGTGTCTTGTATTGGTTGATCTTATTCTATTATCATCTGCAACAGAGTTGGTTCAAACCTCTCCATCTTATACTCCACTATGTCCTGGTGATGAACTAGTACTGACTTGTACAACATATACTGGAAATACTTACTGGCAATATAGAGCTATGATGCTAGATACTATAAGAAAACTGCAAAATGCTGTATCTGCTGTAATTATTAATCGTGTCCTTATACTAAATGTTACTGATATTATTGGTACTACAGTGACAAGTACTGGTACAATACCATCAGTAAATGTATCAATGAATGGAACTATGGCTAGTTGTTCGAATCAAATTGTAAGTAATAGTTTCGTTACATTTACTATCAAAATGACAGGTAATTGCTAATTTTATTTTAAAATTATAGCTAATAATACTATATGAATAGGTCCACCAGTATCAGTGTCAGTTGTTAATATCACTTTTAGTCCTGTTAACAACAGTGCACTGACAATCAGTTGGTCATTGAACACACAGGATTACAATTGCAGTATATACCAGCACAATATCACAGTATACAGTAATGGGACAGACTTTGAACAGGAGTCTGTGAATGATACTACATCATTTACTGTTAATGATCTTATTATTGGTACTAATTATTCATTTATTATTATTCCTATTGATACTATTGGAAGAGGAGGACCTCCTTCATCATTAATACAGTATATATGGAATGGTAAGTACTATACACACACACACACTCATTGTATTTCTTATAGTACCAGCTCAAGTTGTTAATATTAGTTGGGATCAGATATCAAATGATAGTATTACAATATGGTGGAATAACACTCAGGTATGTTAATATAACATATAACATAAGCATAATAATTTATACAATAGGACATACCAGTTCCTCCTATTCAGTATTACATTATTAGTGTATACAATACATCAAACAGTATTATATACACTCATAATACTAATGATACTAATATTACTATCACTGGACTACCTCTTACTGATACAAACTACACTGTTACTATCATTCCTATTAATATTATTGGATATGGACCATCAGCTACTGTTAATGGTATAGTTATATTATACAGCACACATTATTGATGTTAATATTAATAGTCAGTGTAACCAGTATAAGTCCTACAATGACCAGTACTAGTTCAGTTACTAATGCTCCATCATCAGGTCTGTATATATAGTCAGTACATTATTTATTAATACATTATATTGTACATTATTAGTTACAATAACTGCTGATATTAGTACCAGTAACTCAGTAAAATACATACCATCTGCTTCAAGTAAGTGATAATATAGCTTTATACCATTAATATTATAACAATAGCTATAGTATCTGTAGCTTCAACAAATTATGAACAAACATCATCTTTCATTTCAGCTACTAGTATACCAACTGGTACTACTATTATTAGTACGCCAGTTTCATCAACAACAACTGTATCAATTACTGCTGGTGGTTCTAATGCTGTTCCTATTATATCAGGAGCTATTGGAACAGTATTTGTTATAATAATAATAATTATTATTATATTGGTAATAGTGATACTGGCAATCAAGAAACAAAGAAGTAAGTACGATTACTATAATCATTTTCAATTATTGCTATTTTGCTATAATTATTGTTTATTATTGCTATTTTGCTACATGTATACAGGAAAAAAATATAAAATATCTAAAGAGCAAGTTCACATCTATATTGTATGTGTTCATGAATTATCAAACCTACAGTAGTACTGATGCAGTAGCTACTCCTACATATGATGAGATCATTGTTAAACCAACTACTACTACTGGAGTACCAATATATGATACACCAATGGAACTACAGGCTAATACTGCTTATGATGTTATTAATAAAGATATAATTAATGTACATAATAATGATGCATACGGACAAATAATGATGTAGTTTTATTTTAACAATTTAAAGCTGTGTAGTTTTGATTGCATACATGAGTTTTGTGCATACATGCACACATTGCATTTGTTGTTTATGCGTGTAAAGCAAAGAAGAACAGCAGCGACATAATTATTGGAAGTCAATAATATTATTGTCCTGCATGAGTAAACAGTTTATTGTTTATATAATCTAATAGTATAAACAGTTCAGTTCTCGTTCCTGTTACTAATGGCTGCTGCTGCTGGTATCTACTGGTGTCTTGTATTGACTGGATGCACTTTGAATCTTGTATCTGGTAAGTTGCTTTTTATAATGCTACCTACAGAGTAGCTGTTATGCACATACTAATAATAGCTGTAGTACACTTTCATCAAGCAGATCCTGTTGCTGGAGTTGTACCTTGTATTGGTGATAAAGTAGAACTGGAATGTGCAACTGATACTGGTACTGTATTTTGGAAACCTGAAGGTGATGAAACCATAACCCAGTTATTAAAAGTTTCTGACATTGGTATAAGTGGTGTTTTCTTTTTCACTGTTACTGCTGTTAGTGGTAATATGGTAACTAGTCGTGCTACAATTGCATCAGTGAACACATCATTAAATGGAACTAGGATTGGTTGTTCAGGTGTATTGGAAGTTAATAGTTTTATCTATCTAACCATTAATGTAGCAGGTTAGTCATATATAGTGTGTATTTATTATTAACTATTATACAGGACCACCAGTTTTACCTGTTACTAATATAACAGTTAAACCAATTAATAATAGTGCATTAATTATTAATTGGACAGATACACAGCAATGTATCAATCATTATAATATCACAATCATCAGTAATGAAACATTTACTGAGAACCATACTGTTAATACATCCCCAGCTACCATTCCTTCCCTTATTATCGGTACTAATTATTCATTTATTATTATTCCTATTGATACTATTGGAAGAGAAGGATCTCCTTCATCATTAATACAGTATATATGGAATGGTAAGTACTATACACACACACACACTCATTGTATTTCTTATAGTACCAGCTCAAGTTGTTAATATTAGTTGGGATCAGATATCAACTGATAGTATTACAATATGGTGGAATAACAATGAAGTATGTTTATGTCAAGATATCATTATTATTATATTTATCAATAACTACAATAGGATGCTTCAATATGCTATCCTTCAGTACAGTATTACATTATAATTGCAATTTCACTTCATAATACAACTAATACTAATATTACTATTACTGGACTATCTCCTATTAATGAATACTACACTGTTAGTATCATTCCTGTTAATATTATTGGACAAGGACCATCAACTACTGTTAATGGTATATGCTAGTTTCAAAATTTAATATTCATTATAATTCAAATATAGTGCTACTAATCATCACAATTACACCATCAACTATGTTTCTGACAGTCACTACTTTTATGGAAAGTAAGTGGAATAATTATCTTATACACAATCAATTAAAAAATAATAAAGGTCAGTGCACTACTACACAATCAGTGACTATAGTCACAATACAATCTGTAATCAGTGAGAGAAGTAAAATAATTGTTACAAATTACATTGTATATAATGCATTGATAGATTACACTCCATGTGTTACGGTACCAGTTGTAAAATCACCAGATGTAGAATCCATTAGTGGTTAGTTACTGTATGTACATATCTAATGTATCTATTATACACACACATTCAGTTGCTATTGCAGTACCTATCACTGGTCTATTAACTGGACTCATTACATCAATAATTACTAGTATCATTGTATAGCATCAGCTCCTTCACATACCTCACCACTTGCAAGTGATAAACTAACGCTAGCTGTGAAGTGGAATAGACAATATTAATTCATCATACAATGACGTTAATAGTACTACTAACCAACTGAAGGAACAAGGAGCAACAGATGAAGCAATACACTCATCCTGGAGTAAGGATCCTGTAGTGTCAGGACTTGACACCAATCACACTGTGGGCTTTGAAGTGTGAGGATTATGACTTGGCACTATGCCATTGATAATTGGTGTTAAGTTTGATCATAAATAATTATAGATCTATTGATGTCCTTATGCTCTGTGGCAAGTTTGAGCTGACTCTGACGTCAATTTTTCAAGTTATGGCGATTTAAAAAACACCAAAATTTGAAACTGTTAGTGTGTAACTGTTTAAGCTGTCATTTAATTCTATTAAACTTTGTTTGTAATAATTAATAATCCAATGGAACAATAGTAATGATAACAATACAAGTAGAGGGAAAGAGACAAAGTGAGTGAGTGTATAGCTTGTGTTTGTGTATTGTACATTTATACACAACATAAGTACATGTATATGTATCAGGAAATAGAGAACTCTTTGCAAAATTTGGCCTGAGACCCTGCACAACATTGGCCCAATTCTTGAGCAACTTTAAAAGTTTGTAAAAAATTCAATTTTAAATTGACTCAAATTTTCTAAACAACATAAGAATATGCATATGCATCAGGAAGTTTCATCATGTTGTCTACTCACCACTAGTGATATGTGTAAACGCTTTAGCTGTTATTTTTAATTTTAGTATTATTAATTAATAACTTTTTGTATTTGTTGTTACTTAATTCTAGTTTCATTATTATTGTTATTAATATTTTTAGTGAAACTTCAACTCTCTTTTTATTTTAATAAACATGTTCACTCAGTTATGAATGCTATTGTCAATTAGTCTCAATAAACAATCCATTGTTTATCATAATGTAATGAATGTGTACTGAACTGAACATCAACAACAATAACTAATGGACATACAATAGAATAACTAATGAAATAGAATAATAGCAACAACTGGAGAAGACAAGAGAGTACACAAGCAGCTGCTTATCATAAACAATAGCAATAGGCAGAGCTAATATAATACAGTATATAACGATTATACTACATACTGTATACGGATGCAGTATAAATTGTACAACTAGTATGCATAATAATTCCTTTTTGTATGTTCATTCATCTATGGCTCATTGCAGTTTATTCACATACATATCAATGAATCAAGTTATGGTGTGGCAGTGAATGTAAACAACAGAAACAGTTTATAGTATAAACCCTCTTACTAATGCATGGCTACTGCTACTGGTATCAACTGGTATCTTCTTGTATTGACTGGATCATGTGTGAGCATTGTATCTGGTAAGTCAAACTAGCTAAAATTGATCATTATCACTGATTATCTAGTTATGGGAGAAGCTAATATGATGTCACTATCATTCAATCAGAGCAGTCCTAGTGGACCTGTGTGTCCTGGAGATAGACTGGTGTTCACTTGTGTAACAGTAGTGGAAGGTGAAAATGGAGTAGCAGTATGGAGAAGAAATAATCAACAGCAAGATCCTGCAATTTTAGCCTATGGTGTAGCAATTCCTTCACTTGATGATTTCACATTAAATATTACCAGTTATGATAATACAACTAATGTGCATGTACTAGTTAGTACTGCTACTAATCCGTCAGTTCCGGTAGAATTGAATACAACTACTATTGGTTGTTCAGCTGATGCAATGAATTATCATACATTAACAATTAATATAGCAGGTATGTGTACGTATGTACAGTGTACAATACATTATATCATTTTTACAGGTCAACCAACAACACAAATTACTAATGTAACTGTTGCTCCTATCACTAATGATACATTATTAATTACTTGGAACCCACCATCAGATCAATGTATAGACCACTACACTGTTACTATTAATAGTAACAATACTCATAATGAATCCAGGACTACTGACAATCCTAATATAACAATTAATGATCTCATTATTGGTACTAATTATTCATTTATTATTATTCCTATTGATACTATTGGAAGAGAAGGACCTCCTTCATCATTAATACAGTATATATGGAATGGTAAGTACTATACACACACACACACTCATTGTATTTCTTATAGTACCAGCTCAAGTTGTTAATATTAGTTGGGATCAGATATCAACTGATACTATTACAATATGGTGGAATAACACTGAAGTATGTTAAGATTATTATATTGATAATAAATTATTTAGGATTATTTTACTCTACCAGTTCCTCCTATTCAGTATTACATTATTAGTGTATACAATACATCAAACAGTATTATATACACTAATAATACAACTAATACTAATATTACTATCACTGGACTACCTCTTACTGATACAAACTACACTGTTACTATCATTTCTGTTAATATTATTGGATATGGACCATCAACTACTGTTAATGGTATTAACAGTTGATTTTAAGAACCCATCAATTGTTGTCATTAATAGTCAGTGTAACTGTTACTCCTACAGTGACCACTAGTTCAATTACTAATGTTCCATCATCAGGTCTGTACAGTTAATTCATTATTCATTAATACATACATTATATTGTATACTATTATTAGTTACATTAACTACTGATATTAGTACCAGTACATCAGTTACAGTTATATTATCTACTTCAAGTAAGTGCTAGCTTTATTCTATTAATTAATTATGGCAGTAACAGTTACAGTGTCTTCAACAATTCATGAACAATCATCATCTTCCTTTATTTCAGCTACTAGTACATCAACTGGTACTACTAGTATGAGTGTACCAGTTTCATCATCAACTGTATCAACTACTGCTGCTGGTTCTAATGCTGTTCCTATTATATCTGGAGCTATTGGAACAGTGTTTGTTATAATAATTATTATTATTATTATATTGGTGTTAGTGATACTGGCAATCAAGAAACAAAGAAGTAAGTTTGATTACTATGATCACTTTTAATTATTGCTATTTTGCTATGCATGCAGGAAAAAAATATAAAATATCTAAAAAGCAAGTTTACATCTATATTTATGTATTCGTGTATTATCAAACCTACAGTAGAGCTGATACAGCAGTTACTCCTACATATGATGAGGTCATTGTTAAACCAACTACTACTACTGGAGTACCAATATATGATACACCAATGGAACTACAGGCTAATACTGCTTATGATGTTATTAATAAAGATATAATTAATGTACATAATAATGATGCATATGGACAAATAATGATGTAGTATACATAGTCTCTTTTGATATGAACTATTTAAAGCTGTGTACTTACATCAGCTATTTTGTGTATACACATTTACTTTTAATGTTTATATGTGTAATAGCAAAAAAGAACAACAGCAACATAATTATTGGAAGTCAATGTCCTGAGTAAACATTTTATTGTTTATTCTAGCATANACTGCTCAGTTCTCATTCCTTTTATACTAATGGCTACTGCTGGTATTGAGAG